GGTCCCTTCCAACCCTGATATTCTATGATTCTATGAATGATGGATGGACGGTGGATGGACAGACAGATGGACAGTGTACACGGTGAGGGAGGGCCATCTCATCTGTATCTGAGGTAGACTGAAGAGGAAATGACTGGCAGTTCCTCATCCTATCCTAAGCACACAGACTCTGGAGGGAGCAGATGTAGGGTTTGTTAATCGAAGACATTCAGGGTAGCAGTTATCTATAAAGCAAAGGATTGTGTGGAGAACAGGGTTTTCTCTTGGGGGCCTGGGAGGGAAAAGAAATCTGCTAACTTTTTCCTGTGAATTCAATTTGCTTTTCTTGTTCTTTTCTTTTATACTGAAGACACCCAGAATGGAGATGGTGAAACATCTCCCTTAGGGAATGGTTTTGAATCCCTTTCCTTCACTTCTTACCACCTTTACCAGAGCAGATAGGAGGCATATGATTTGTTTTCAAGGACTTCTGGCCAATTTTCATTGTTTTCTTTCTAAACGTTTACCCCTGCAGTCAGCCTTGCGAGTTGGTTAACGTCTAGTGGGCAGCCATGACCACCCCTCCTTGGCTTAATTAAAGGGCAAAAAACTTCATTAACACAGAGTTTAGGGTGCCTGGTGGGATATCATCCCTTGCAGAACCTCAACTTCAGCACAACTCAAATGTCTGAAAACCAGGAAATTCACCATTAAGGTTGTCCACACAACCTTAACTCTGCCCTCTGTCCAGAATGCCCCAATGTGCCCTCTTAAAGCACATACATTTATGCTGTCAGCATCACAGTGGCTGAATTGTACAAGCTTTCTACCTCCATTTACAGCCCTTCAAACCAGACCCCCAGCGTCAGCTGGGCCTGACCAGGCACAACCCGGAGCAAGTCAGAAAGGGGCGCAGGCTGGGCTTGGCCCTGGTCATGACTGCACAGCAAGCCCCCTTGCCTCTACTCAGAGACACTCCCCCACCTCACTGAGCCCCCTTCAGTGAGCCACACTGCTCTCTCTCTCTCTCTCTCTCTTTCACACACACACACCCCCAAAAGCCTGGGCCAGGAGAGCTGATTCTCTTGTGGTGTTCTGAGCCCCACACGATACAGCCAGAGTTGAGATCAGCACACCCTTCACATGCTCCTCCATGAGGACCAGGTTAATTTAGAGGGACTGGCTAGAATTTGCCCCCAGATTCTCTATGGCTCTGGCCCATGTCGCTTATTGATAGAAATGTGACTCCATATCCGCTTATAATTTTTATTAAAATGAACAAATAAAATGAAGAACACACACCACACTAAGGCTAAGCCCCTATAAACACTAATAAACCAACTATGAGTTGAACGCACAGTTAGGAAGTTCAGCTCAAACCAGTAAATCAATGCATTAACAACAATATTGCACTGAAATCAGGTCACCAAACTGAGTCAAATCATCAGACTCATACAACAGTTATTCAAAGCTTATAAATCCTAGCACAGTAACCCGAGCAGATGGGTGTCCATTTCGGGTACATCTCCACTGGAATAAGACCTGCAGCATGGCAACAGATGGCCCGGGTCAGCTGACTTGGGCTTGCAGGGCCCAGGATGTGGGGCTAAAAATCACAATGTGTAAGTTCAGGCTTGGGCTGGACCATGGGCTCTGACACCCCACGAGGGGGCAGGGGTCTCAGAACCCAGGCTCCAGCCCAAGTCCTCACGGTGGGCAGGAGGTGCGGGGAGGGAGCGGGAGGTGCTGATCGGCGGGGCTGCTGGTGGGTGGGAGGTGCAGGAGGAAGGGGAGGAGCTGATGGGGGGGCTGCAGATGGGTGTTTAGCATCCACCATTTTTTTCCCCATGGGTGCTCCAGCCCACTGCAGTGTAGACCGGACCTTTGACACGAAACCATAGAAACAGGACTCGACATTCGTGTGTTCTGCATGCCGGACACGGAGGCTGACCCATCATTCCCTCACTTGCACAGCATGGAAGTCCCAGTTGCCCAACCAGGCAGGCAGACTGGGATCCACGGGGAAGGAATGTCCTCTGAAGGCATCAACTATTCCTTTCTTCAGCTTACGACACTTTGGATCCAAACGGTAGAGGACAATTGTTCTCAGTCTAACCACGGCATCCTTTGACACTGTAATCAATGCAATTGAACTAGGGAGTGTTCTCAAAACAGTTTACCATAGTAACCCATAGCTTCTTTCTCCTGAGGCGAAAACCAACCACGGGGTGCCTGCTGTTTCTGCCTGAGTTCTTGACCTTCATCAGGGTAAATTTACACTTCTTTGGGAGAGAATCTTTTTTCCAAACAACCCAAAGTCTCAGCCATGTTAGTGAGGAACGGCTTCCGCAAACATGCTCAGTTCATTTCTTTAATCTGATGGCACAGGTCTAAGTTAGGGACCAGTTGCAGGTCTGGATCAGAATCTCTGGAAGCTACCAGAGGTGGGGTTTCTTTCTGAAAATAGGTGGGGATTTTTTTTTTGCCGCTATCTCACATTTAACACTGATTTCATTCTGTGGACATCTGCAGCAGCGACAAAGGGTGAGTTCAACAAAAACACAACCTCTGCATCTGCATCATTCGGGACAGCATTTCCCAAATCACAGGAGTAGCGAGGCGATCTCTTCAGGAATAACCCCCTGTAGGGCCTGGGTCACACCTTCTTTTCGAACCAAGAGACTTACAGTTTCCCAGTTCCAAGTCACTTACTGTGGAATTCTATTCCAAGATCATCATGTGCCAGCAATGCCCCTCTGCCATGTACATTGGTCAAACTGGACAGTCTCTACGTAAAAGAATAAATGGACACAAATCAGATGTCAAGAATTATAACATTCATAAACCAGTCGGAGAACACTTCAATCTCTCTGGTCACGCGATTACAGACATGAAAGTTGTGATATTACAACAGAAAAACTTCAAAACCAGACTCCAGCGAGAAACTGTTGAATTGGAATTCATTTGCAAATTGGATACTATTAATTTAGGCTTAAATAGAGACTGGGAGTGGCTAAGTCATTATGCAAGGTAGCCTATTTCCTCTTGTTTTTTCCTACCCCCCACCCCCCAGATGTTCTGGTTTAACTTGGATTTAAACTTGGAGAGTGGTCAGTTTGGATGAGCTATTACCAGCAGGAGAGTGAGTTTGTGTGTGTATGGGGGTGGGGGGGATGTGAGAAAACCTGGATTTGTGCTGGAAATGGCCCAACCTGATGATCACTTTAGATAAGCTATTACCAGCAGGACAGTGGGGTGGGAGGAGGTATTGTTTCATATTCTCTGTGTGTATATAAAGTCTGCTGCAGTTTCCACGGTATGCATCCGATGAAGTGAGCTGTAGCTCACAAAAGCTCATGCTCAAATAAATTGGTTAGTCTCTAAGGTGCCACAAGTCCTCCTTTTCTTTTTAAGATCATCTGAGACAATACTGACCCAAACAGTTGAAAACTACTGTAATTGTATTCAGTCACTTCAGTTAATTGCACGATTTCGGATGTCCTGTGGTTCACCATTTCAGAATGGAGATTTAAAGACAGTGCTGTTTCCTTGGTAACATGTCCAATAGCATGGAGTATTATCCTTTGTTGACTAAAGTCCACCTGAACTTCCTCCATGTCATCACCGAGTGGTGGGGGAAAAGCAAAAATAAATAAAGAAATGACTCTTTTAGCAAATGGTCATTTATCTCAAAGCCCACAATAAATCTAAGCTAGATTTGGTCAAACAAAATTAGTATCCAGTTATCTGACCCAGTGGCCTACAGGAAAGAGAGAAAAACCCACATCACAGAGGGGTAATAAAGACACTTTCAGTTACATATAAAATGAAATTCCAGAACAGGATACATCTGATGACTCAATCAGGACAAGAGATTCTCCCATCACATTCTCCTCCGATCCGTTCAAACCTGCTTCACTCAGCACTGTCTCATTATTATTGAGTTGTGTTATTCACAAAAGCTTTAGGATTATCATAACGGGGGAAAAGCAGCCAACCTTTCCATCTACAAACAATCCCATCTCAGCAGGGAAAAGCCCAGGAGTGTCTCTGCCAATAGATGGAAACTGGGATTTAAACTCCCACTGTGTCTGGGATCCATTGGAATTCCCCTTCCAGGTCAGTGACACTTTCATCTCCAGCCCTAACGAGTCTGATTTAGGATCAAAGGCACCAAAGAGAGAGTCTAAAGCACAGAGGGCTGAGAACACTGCATCATGGGACACTCTGGGTGGTGGAGGGGTAGAATGCGAAGAAGATAAACTCTACACAGCTCTTGTAGAAGGTAACACTGCTGGGGTGATGGGGAAGGAGAGAATCCCTCCAACCCATCCCATCTCTTTCTGGGGTCACAGAGGCTGAAATGACACTGTCCCCCCCGCTCTTTGATATATTTAAATATATTTGTAATGAGAAAAATGGTACCCCAAAATAACCGCTGTTCAGTACCACCCAGGGCAATTTGAGAACAAGTGGGAATGAGGCAATCTGTTCCCTAAAGGGGAAACTTGGTGACCCTAACAATTGCTTTTCAGGGAGAGGCACAGTATCAGTGTGATACTCCAGGTTGGTTTAGACTAGGACAAGTCATGGCTAGGTGAGGTGATGAGGAAACGGGCGTGATAACCCCGGCCACTCGACACGGGCTACATCTTTTGTGCAAGAGTAGTTCTGTTTTAACATGAGATGAGCTAATGCAAGCTAGCTAACTCCATGGAAAACCCTAGTGGAGAAAAGACCCTGGTAGATTTTATCTGGGAGATGTAGCTAGTGGAGATCACCCATATCTCTCCCAGCTGGTGCTGATGGACATTCTTGGCACATACTGCCAGGACTCACAGGACAAAAGAGTTGATAGAAAGGACCACAGGATTCACCCCCAAAAAGGGCAAGCTGTAAAAGGCAAAAATGGGCATCTCTCTTGGCGCATCTGAGACGTAAATGGCACAAATAGCCTCAGAAGTCACTATGTGGGAATTAGCAAAAATATTAAAGAAAAAAAATCTATCTTTGGTCAGGTTTTATTTTTTTAATGATTTTTTATCACCCTTGTGGCTCTTCTGATGTGCAACAAGGTTTGAGCTCACAACGAAGCTTTTCCCACACTCTGCGCATAGATAGGGTCTCTCGCCTGTGTGGATTCGCTCATGCCTGATAAGGTGTGAGCTGTCCGTGAAGCTTTTCCCGCTTTCGGAGCATTCGTAAGGTCTCTCTCCCGTGTGGGTTCTTTGATGCCTGATAAGGGCTGAGCTTTGAGTGAAGGTTTTCCCACACTCACAGCATTCATAGAGTCTCTCTCCTATGTGGACCCTCTTGTGCCTAATAAGGGAGGAGCTGTCAATGAAGGTTTTCCCGCACTCACAGCACTCATAGGGTCTTTCTCTTGTGTGGGTTCTCTGATGCTTAATAAGGGCTGGGCTGTCACTGAACCTCTTCTGACACTCTGTGCATCCATAGGGTCTTTCTCCCGTGTGAATTCTCCGATGTCGGACACGGGTTGAGCTCTGGGTGAAAATTTTCCCGCACTCACAGCATTCGTAGGGTCTCTCTCCTGAGTGGAGTCTCTGATCTCTAACAAGGTGTGAGCTCTGAGTGAAGCTTTTCCCACACACGCAGCATATGTAGAGTCGTTCTCCTGTGTGGCTTCTTCGATGTGTGATAAGGGCCGAGCGGTAACTGAAGTCTTTCCCACACTCAGGGCATGTGTTGTTTCTGTCTCCCATGGGGATTCCCTGCTGGGCTGCGGTTTCTTTGAGGTCTTTGTGAGTTTGCCAACAATTAATGGATTGACCCACTTTCTGCCCTGGCTGGTTTCCCTGCTCTCTCCCTGGCCTGTGCTGACTCTTGCAGGCACTTTCCTGCTCACGACTCCTGGACACATTCACATTAGATCTTTGTGCTAATGCCCTGGGTGATTCCACTTGCTCCGCATCTTCCTGCTTTGGATTCTGCTCCTCATTCTCACTCACCGTCCCATCACCTGCTGGGACAGAGAGAGAAACCTCAGAATCAGGAATGGAAAAAGGAAGAGAAAATCAAAATAAGTGCTGGAGAGAGAAAAAAACCAGGAACTGAATTCCCTAAAATCTTCCCCATTGGGGAGAGAAGAGGGGGATCAATTCTGCTTCCACCTCCTACCCAAAGGCTCACAGGAAAGGGAGGTCAGGAAGGGATCTGCTACAAGATCTGAGACAGAGAGCTTACAAGGTCTTTTCAGGGAATCCCAGCTCTTTCCTTCAGGCACTGACAGATTCTGAGTTGGTTTTAATGATTCCTCACCTGTGCAGGGACCTCTCAGGATCGCCCTTTTCTCTGAGCCCTGCTGATGTGGGACCCACGGCTCCTCCCCTTGTTCCAGCTGGGAGGTCACGTCAGGTTTTGAAACTGGAAACCCTGCTCAGGGGAAAGAAAACAAGTGGAGATCGGGTGAATTCAGGGGACATTTGTCACATTCTGTTAGTTTAAACCCAGCCGTAAAATCCTGGGCCCAGCTCCCAGATGCTCCAAGAGGCAGGTCACTCTACTTTGGAGGGATTTAACTATCACCAGCTCTGCTGCAAACATGCACAACCAGACATGTATCATCGAGGGGGCTCGTAAAACACAGAAGGTGACTCCATATCCCAGAAAGTGGAGAAGCCAGCTAGCGGGGAAGCCACCGTGTAACTGCTTCTTACTGACAGAGAGAGGCCCAGAGCCAGTGATGGGGAAGATGGGCTGGCCATCTAGGGATGACACTCCCTACAGTATGTCAGGGGAGAGGAAAGCACATTTTGAAGAACTGGGGAATCGAGTAAGTCAGGTGTGAGCGGGAGAAGTATGGGAAAATCTGGAGAAGTTTGGAGAGTTAGAGGCTATAATGCAGGAGCAACGTGCTAATTCCTCTTGAAAAGGAGAATATAAAAAGATTAAAATCAGACCAAGCCCAGGGGCTGACTTTTGTTTTTGCTGGTGGGTGCTCCACCCCCGCTCTGCCCCCACTCTGCCCCTTCCTGCCCCCTCCCCTGAGGCCCCCCTGCTGCTCACTCCTCTCTGCCCTCTCCCCCCCCGAGTGACTCCCACCCATTCCTCTCCTCCCCCTCGGCTCCTCCCACCCACCCACCCGCCGCTTGCTCCTCTCTGTCTCCGGAGCACCCATGGAGTCAGCGCTTTATGAGACGACGTGACCTCGGGAGGCACCGGCTCACAGATCCAAGGCGCCGGTAGGGAATAGAGATTGTGGCTGCTGCAGATGGGGAGGGATGAATGAGAACCGATGTGTCCCCAGAAGTGTCACTACCCACTATAACACCACCAAAGGCACATTTGTGCCAGGGAAAGGCTCGTCTTGGGGCTGTGAGGAACATAAGGGTTCAGGAAGGGTGGCTCGGGCCACAGTGAATGGATTGGCTTGCAAGGGTTAGATTTTTATTGGTACATGTCAGTAAACGTTGATTTCAGACACACAAACCAAGCAAACAAAATTCCACTGATGATAACAGTGTAGCGCAGCTAGGCAAAAGAAGAAAAATACAGCTTGAGAACTTATTAGAGATTGGTTTAAGGATATTTAATTTGTATAGTCGGACATGGTGATGCTGATAAGTTGTTTCTAATGGTTATAACTATTTCAAGGTCTTCTGTGCCCTGTTCCCAGAGCGTTGGGTAGCAGGGGAGGGCAGAGGGCTAGTGTGTGTGTCACTGGCATGTTGGGGTGATGCTGAATCAGGGCAGAGTTAAGGTTACATTGTGGGGGTGACATGAACCTTAACTCTCCATTTCCCCTTCTAAGAACCGAGGGGACAGGAACCCTTACCCAGCAAGGTCACATTCTCATAGGTCTCCTGCATGACGTCTCTGTAGAGGGCTCTCTGAGCGGGGTCCAGCAGAGCCCCCTCTTCCCTGGTGAAATACACAGCCACCGCCTCGAAGGTCACTGGCCCCTGAAAGAGCCAGAGCCCCCACTCAGGACCTGCTGCCCCACTCACAGCCCCACTATTCGTGGGGGAGAGGAGCCAAACAAATGGAAGCTCTGAGAAGCTCCCAGTCAACAAAATCCCACCCCCCACCCCGCTCAGAGCATCCAGGAAACACCAGGGTGAGGGGCGAAGAGAGAGCCCCTCGTCTCTCCCAGCAGATGCATCACACACCTACTAGCCAGAGACGGATACAGGAGATGGAGCCCCTAGCAGGGTCCAGGGCGAGCTCCCTGGTAGGAAGCCCAACGCCGTCCCCAGTGCCAGCAGCTAGATGTGGGGGCGCAGAGCATCTCCCCTAAGCCTCACTGGTTGGTGCCCCCTTCATATCCAATGGAAGCTTCTGATCAGTAGTTTCAGACTCCAGCCCTGGGAGTCTGGTGAGTTTTTTCCCCACTCCTGCCCAGGGGAGTTGTATCCTGTTCCACAAATAAGGGAATTTCCGCATTGACACCCCCGCCCCCACACCCCATTCTCTGTTCCTAGAACCTAGGGCCCAGGTTAAACAAGTCCCAGCAAGTTTGTCCCACGCTTTCCCCCCTCCCTTTCTCCACCCTGTGTATTTCCTGCCCCGCTCCAACCTCCAGACTAAACTGCCCAGAAGTTCCCATCTCCGGTGTATTTGCTGCCCCTCTCCCTCCAGCAGGAACCCACCAGCAACCCCCCCAATAATCCCTACCTGAACTGGCTCCTCTGCAGCCATTTCCCTTCCCCGCGACCGTCCTGTAGCAGGCTGGGATGAGCTGGAGCGAAACATGGACATCGTTCTGCAGCGTGGCAGGGCGAGAAGAGCTACAGGGGAGATTTCAGAACAGGCTTTCGTTCATTTCACTTCATGGCTCCAACCAGGCCCTTTTTCAGTAGCCATTCTAGCCTCTGCCATGAAAATAAAAGGAGCACCCAACAGATACGAGCTGATAGCAATGGGGCGACAGTAGCTGCCAAGACATCTGTTATGGCCAAAGAGAAAATGGCCAGTACGTTTTTGGAACGTATTGCGGACAACTTTTGTTTCCGAACACGGAAGAGGTAACCACGGGAGAGCCATCTGAGACGGGATTCTGACTAGCAGGGAGGAATTGGTTGTGAAGGTAATTTGGGTGAAAGCGATCATGAGATGATGGACTTAATGAGTCTAAGGAAAGGCAGGTGTGAAAGCCGCAGAATGAGGACACTGGACTTCAAAAAAGCAGACTTTAACAAACCCAGAGAACGGGTCCGTAAGGTCCCGTGGGAAGGAAATCTAGAGGAAACAGGAGTTCAGGAGACCTGGCAGTTTCTCAAAAAGATCATATTAAAGGCTCAGCGGGAAACTATCCCAAACGAAAGGTCAGAGTAAGAGGCCAATAAGGCTGCATCGGTAGCTCTTGAAAAGAAGAAGGAATCCTTTGAAAACTGGAAACACGGAGAGTTGCTAAGGATGAGTCCAGACGAACAGCACAAGGGTGTAGGTACAAAATTAGAAAGGCTAAAGCACAGGGTGACTCACTCCAAGCAAGGGACATAAAAGACAATAAGAACTGGTTCTAGAAGTAGATTAGGCCATGTCTACACGAGAGACCTTACAGCGGCCTAGCTGTATCGATGCAGCTGCACGGCGGTCAGGTCTCCCGGGTACCTGTTCTATGCCAACGGGAAAGAACTCTTCCGTCGACATAATTAAACCACCCCCTAACGAGCGGCGGTAGCTATGTCAGTCGGAAAGTGTCTGCCGTTGACATAGCACTGTCCACACCGGCGCTTCTGTCAGCGTAACTTATGTCAGTCCGGGGTTTGTTTTTTTCACACCCCTGAGTGACATAAATTTGACCGACAAGAGCAGACATAGCACTTTCCCCAAACTCTCCCTCGATCACTTGGGAGTCTCCGGACCATGAGCTGATGTCGGCAAAGCCTAGGGCTGCCCTAGGGGGCTAGCACCAGCTGGAGAAAGTCCTCACCTTGGCTGGGCACCTAGGAAACTTTAATTATGGCAACTCCCTGGCACAGATCCCGCTGGGGGAGCAGCAGCTGCTAAATCTGGTCTCCCAGATCACAATGGAGGCTGCAGCCTCTGACCCAGGAAACTCAACACCAATATCCTGAGAGAGAGAGACACACACACAGAGATAACTTCCTCCCGTCCTTTAGCAGCATCCAGAGCTTCTGGTGACAGCAGATAATGGAACCACCTCCCCACAGGGACAGCTGATCTCATTCGCCCCCCTGTTAATCTGGAGTCACTCCTCATCCTCCTCTGCAATGAATCCGGATTAACACTGGTCTCAACGAGCCCAGAAACATGGGTCAGGAGGGAGGCAGCCACAATCCTTTTAAACAGACCCATTGCTGGGGGGGGGGGGTTTAACCCCCTCCGTCCCCCCCCCATCTCTAGAAAAAGGACTCAGGGCATCAGTTTTCCTTCCAAAACCTGAAATTCCTCCAGTTTCAAAGTGGGGGGGGGGGGGAGAAGCAAAATCTGTCATGATTTTATATCAGCGTTTGATAAGTGGATAGAAAGATATCACCACCCCGTACCAGTCATTCACGCAGGTAGAGGGAACCCCGGGTGGGGTGCTGCTTTCACAGGAGAATGAAGGATCCAAAATACTTAAGAACTTTGTCCATGATCTGCCACTGGCCTCCCTGGAGCGCCCCCCAGAAGTGGCTGCATCTCAGTGTTGCAGGAAGCAACCCCTCGTGGAGACCGTTGGCCGTGGGGTTTGGGACACTTCTGGAGAAAGCGGCGATGGGTTAATACAGGAGCACGGAGAGTCTCAGCCACTCTGGGCACTGCTTGGGCTAGCAAAGAGCCAGTTACACCCTACAGCAGAGGAGTGAGCCCCTCATCCTGTGCCATCAATGTCCAGCCAAATCTCCTGTGAGCACTGATTCGCTGAAGAGGGGGAGGCCTCTGGCTTTGATGGGCATTCAATGTGGGGCAAGTCTCTTTCACCAGCAAACATTTTTAATGGAGATAAAAGGGGGGAACAATTGATTCTCAAAGGAGAGGGGAAAGTTGATCATTTGGGAATTTAACCCTCTGGGATCTCCAGTGTGGAGAATGACTTGGGGCTACTGGCTCCCACCAGAAACAGAGACATTTCTGCATTTAAAAAACACGAGGAACATCCCGCAAACTGGAGAGGATTTTTAACTGACATTTCATAATGACATGGAGAAAGGCAAAATGCGAGGTTTGAGAGCCATGTTCGGTAATGGGACAAAGACAGGTGGACATCTGAGGGATATTGGATCCATTTTCTGAAAGGACAGCGGGGAAATGTGGGATTTTCCATCCATAGCGGGTGATAGGTAAAGAAGTAAAATTTGAATGACTGGCTTATCCATATTTTATAATATGGAGAAAGAGAGAAACGGGCAACATTCGCCAGGACTCTGGTATCAACATGCCAGACAGGGGCAAAACCGGGGGAGATTTTATATTAATAATCTTTTAGAACTATTGAAACCGGGAGCAATCTGGGACATATGAAATCAGTAATAGCTAACTAGCGAGAGAGGAGGATGGGGGGTTAGGGTGTTTTATATGTAGCTTTGATCATGGGGGAGAAAATGGGTCCAAAATTGATACTATGAGGGGGGAAAAAACCACAAAGTTCTATGGGGATTTTATATTGATATTCAATTCTGAGTGGGAAAGTTTGAAAGGATTGTAGATGACGGTTCGGTAAACAGACAGTACTGGTTCCCCAGCGCCAGCCCCAGTCCCATGGGCAGCAGGGAACCCTTGGGGAGGCTGCTTTAAAGGGGCAGAAGAGGGGGTGCGGATCCGGACGGCTCCTTGGCAGTGGGGTGGGGATGGGCAGGGGACAGGCAGCTGGTGGCTGTGGGGTACTTCCATTGGGCAGACGGGCAGGCACCTGCTGGGAGTGGTTACCCCATTGGTGACACTTGCTCCTGCTTTCCCCTGCGGTGCCCCTTCCAGGCCCTGTTGCTGGCAGAGAACGGCCGCCCCACCCCAGAGCCAGCCAGGTTTCGGGGCTCTCCCAGGCTGCACCCCCTAACCCCTTTCCCCTTTAGGGGATGACTCACAATTTCCCACCCAAACAAGGACACATCACTGCAGATAACACAGGTGGGAAAATATCCCAAATCAGAGGAGATTTTAAACAGGCCTTTGAGAATTAATGCAGCAAAATCTCGGGAGGAGACCAGAGTGTCAAGTATCGGGGGGTAGCCGCGTTAGTCTGTATCCACAAACACATTTTCCCTCCATGCAGCTGAAGAAGTGGGGTTTTTACCCACGAAAGCTTGCGCCCGAATAAATCTGTTAGTCTTTAAGGTGCGACCGGACTCCTCATTCGTTTTTGAGGAGACCAGAGAAAGGCTCAGTCAGCTGGGAGAAAAGGTGACGTGGATTTGATACGAGTACTTGCTGATTAGAAAGAAAGGGGGAAGATTTGTATGAGTGAGAAGTGGGACAATCCGATTTCACACAATCATAGGATATCAGCGTGGGAAGGGACCTCAGGAGGTATCTAGTCCAGCCCCCTGCTCAAAGCAGGACCAATCCCCAATTTCTGCCCCAAATCCCTAAATGGCCCCCTCAAGGATTGAACTCCCAACGCTGGGTTTAGCAGGCCAATGCTCAAATCACTGAGCTCCCCTCCCCGCAACCCCCTGCAATCTCCTGCCCGCCCAGAGCCAGGTCCATCTCCCCCCCTTCACACGGTCTGCCCCCTCCCTCCACCCCCGCTCATTTCTCATCCCTCCCTCCCTGACCCACAAAGGTAGAAACCGCAGCGGGGCCGGTTTCCTTCCCCACCTGAATCCCCCCAGCGGGGCCCCAGGGCAGGGGGCTTCCCAGATGCTGCCAGATGTGAGCTTCCCAGACCCCTTGTGCAGAGGGGCACTTTCCTACCCCTCCCCGG